GGTCAGACCTGAATGAAAACTGGTTCGGTCTGCCCGGGGTGCAAAAGAAGCAAGAGAACGTCCTGGGTGACACTCACTTGTACAAACATCTTTCGATGAAACAGCATGTCCGTTCTTTGCTTTTGTCATTTTTCCCTCTTCCACATGATGAATCCAGTCGTGGGGTCTTCTCTGTACAGGATCGAGCTGCGAGCTTTAGGACCAATCCCTGAGGGTCAGGAGTTGACTGTCAGCTACGTGGACTTCCTAAACCTGTCGGGTGACCGCCAGAAGAAGCTGATGGAACGTTACCACTTTGAGTGCACGTGTCAATGCTGCAGCCGGCGCCTCAAGGATGACCTGATGATGGCCACAGCGGAGGGCAAGGTGAGAAGGGGTGAGCAGGGGTGGGGGTGCAGGGGGGTATTTGATGGAACACAGTGAAAGAGTCACCCAAAATACATGTGCCCCATGCTTGCGTGTTCCTCACAGCCGTCTGCTGAGAAGCTGAAAGAGGTGATCGCCTTTAGTGAAGATTGTCTGGAAAAAATGGACAAGGACCGTTCCGAGAAAGATTTCCATGAGGTACGTTTATGTTGTTGTGTCTTGTTTCTGAATGTGCTCTGTCACATTACCGCTTTGGATCCAAATGCACAAATCAGCATCACAAGATTAAAGTCTTTCATTGACAAAAAGAGGAATAGGCAGGAGAAAGATTTTAACGGCAGTGGATGGCGTTCCGAAGAGGACAACACAGGTGAGTGCAATGCAGCAAGAAGATGCTGAACGTCCAAATTTTACAGTCATCCTTCGCTTTTCGCGGTGAAAGCCGCGAGGTTGGATTTGCCCGGCCCCCCCGAGGAATTTACGTGCATGCGAGTACCAGCATGCTCAAAATATGTCAGCAGTATTTAAATTTTACATATTTGAGACCAAGACTACAACAGATTACATTCATGATAAAACCTTCGACAGTCATTAACAAAAGCAAAACTTGAAGCGTCAAGTATCACTGCACTCACGAGAGCGGG